TGATTTAGTGGAATCAATCAATCTTTTCTTGTGAAATTATCAACTTAATTCAACCTATTATTTTTCTAGGTTTTAATTTCACATCACTTCAGAACTTAAAAACATGAGTGTGTTTGACTTTAATTTTTTTTACTTGAAATTATGAGTCCTACAAATAGTTAACTAAACTCATCAAATACATTTTCTAAACAAACAGCACACAATATTAGCAAAGCCAGCATGCACTGTTTGAGCAAGACTCACACAGTGCAGTAGTTTAAATTAAAAAAACAATGGGCATTGTGACAAATAAGATATGTCAGGGATGTTTCTGTTTTGTTCACAATAAAGAAAACAATGGTAACTATGATGAAGGTTAGAATTGAATTCAGTGTAATAATGATTGCATTATTTCAAAATAGTTAAATCAGATACTCCACATTGCTTTTGTTTGTTTTGTGTTATCTTAGTTTATCTTATTCTTGTTCTAAGAATGACCTTTTTGTGGACTCTCCTCTTGACACATGCCCTTGTCAGTTTGTGATGCTGAGAAAATGTAAATGAAAAGCACAAGCGCTCGTCAATGTCATTGAGTAGTTGTTTGTTCTTGTAAATAAACAAGTCAAGTACATTTTATTTATATAGCACAATATCACAAATATGCCTCCGGGAGCTTTCCAAATTGTAAAGCATAGGACAACATCTTCCTTTACCACCCTCACCAAAAGCAAAGCTTTTATACAACATTAAACATTTGCAAAGCATTTTAAATCCAGTAGTGTTTACATCCATGTTTATTAGCCTTTCCCATTGTGTCCTTGTGCAAATAGTGCAAATGCACAAGAAGGGCTAAACGGGAACCCATTCAGAGAAAAACATCTCAATCGACTTGACTAAAACTAGACTGAAATGTTCATGGTTTTCTTTGACACTAAAATGGACTAAAATGATAAAGGATGTTCTTGCTCAAGGACAAAAAATGGTTTCATTTTATTGAAGGGTATCCATTCACTGCTTGAGAGCAGATAACTAGATTCAGTGCAGCCATGGCCTGTGCTGCGTCAGTGCAGAAGGGCAATTTTCCTTGACCGCCTACTACAGCATGAAGGACTGCAGACCGTTCTCTCACAATTGTGTCTTTTGTCTTGGGCTGCTACCATGCCAACACAACTGACCCAGCTACTGCAAGCCCAGCCATCTAAAATGCCTTGTGAGGGCAACATGTCGGGAAACTGTCACTTAAGAGCCCTTAATGACGAGCATAGTATGCTCAAATGATACTGCCGTCCACCTAAATGAATGTTGTAGGACATTGTCCCCTTGAATCCAGAGATTAGCTTAGGGTATGTGGCTATTTTATGTGACCCCTGAGAGGGGAGTTGGGTTATTGCGTGGATTGACTTAATTTCCCTGAAGAGGACAAGACATTAGTCAGAGGACTGATCCCTCTATATTATAAAAGTCTATCGAGGCAGCATTGATAAATGTCTGTCATGGCACGAGGTTGCCATTAATCCAAATAGTACAAGTATAGAAAGACAACGATTGGTATTGATATTAAATTCAACAGGCGTTGGACAGAATGAAAGAGGGAGGTCAAGTCTGAGAGGCTAAAAATAAAAAGACATTGATAATGACATCCAACAAGCTGAACTGAAAAGACTAAGCCCTACAGTTGGTCTCAACACAATTTCGCAACTAGATAAGGAAATGAAATTAGAGACTTGTTTGCGCCGCTGTGTCTTCTCTCCTCCTCTCTCTCTCTCTCTACTCACAGAATGTCTGCAGAGCCTGGACTAATTATCGCCTCACTGATGCACCTGAACCTGCCAACTTGTGTTTGTGGAGAGAGACAGGAGAGCACATGCCTGGATTAACCTTAGCTGTAACACTGAGAAAAATCTGTTTTCATGCTGCTAATGATGTTGCTGTTCCGTCTCACTCTGCATCTGACATAGCCCATGTGTGGGTTTTTGACAATTTGAATTGTGATCACAGGCGTCAGCTTGATCACTCCGTAGTTGAAATGCAGTACACTGTGTGTACACACTTTCACTCAGTGACATTTATTTGCTCAGACGATATCTCATAAAATGTAATTGCTATCATTTCTCTTTTTCCCCCCTAATTCATAAAAGCTTTTTTAAACCTTTTCTATTTAAATGCATGTAGTTTGAACAGCACAAGTCATCTCTTCCATTCAAGATACATTTTTGGCTGGTGACTACTTAAAATGAAGCAGTGTCTGGTTGCAACCGTTCCTCAGGTTGAATTTGTCTATCTGAGTTGAGAGCTTTGTAAATAACTTTTAGAGACCTAGAAGTAAAACTATCACAAAAAAATGAAAACAACTCACCTCTTCTTCCATTTGAACACCGGCCATGTTCTGCATTCAGATTACAGACTAATATTCTGCAGATGACTCATTCTTCTTGCGGACAAGGTTTGGTATTGTCAGTGTCAATCTTGTTCAATAGTTAACAATCTGTTCAAGGCTTAATATTCAGACATTTCATATTAAATATTCTTTATTAATACATTGTTCTTTATAAATTCTCAACATATAATGAGTCAACAATGTGAATTGTGGTAAACTCTCATGCTTTACGATTGCTACAGTACATGGCTACAAAGAAATGTGGAAACAACTGTAGAAAGCTTTACAAAGCAGAAAAAGACATCATTGCCTTCAGATCCATACCAAAGATAAGACAAGACAAGTCTCATATATTCCCTTTGGATGTGTGATGCAAAAAAGAGTAAAGAGAGTGTAAAGAGCGAAAGATCCAGAGGGGGAGATAGAAAGGCAGACCACAGAACATGCCCTCTCCTCTCAGGTGCAGACATCCATTTAGAGAAAAGTGCTGGTATATCTCTACCTCTTCAGATTCCATTTGAAGATTGCTGTCTGACCATCTCACAGTGTTATTGCCCCATTTCAATGCATGGAGCTCTCAAGAGAAGAGCTGCCTTCTAGTACAAAACTAGGTCCATGCCATTGTGCTTTTGCTTTCAGGAATCGTGATGTATGGAAATGGAAAAACAAAAACAAACAAAGATGTGCTGTCCTCTTTTCATCTTGTTCTGAAAAAAACTAATCTAATTAATGGTATAAATATCTTGCAGAATAATGAGCCATGATAAAAGAATTACGCTTTCAACATTAAGAACAATTTATTTCTATACAATAAGATAATTGATTGACAAAATGACACGAAAGGCAGTGTAACTTTTATCTATCCATGGTTAGATAGTTAAATATATTAATAGACTTTCTTCACAACATTATTTTCATACAATACAACTGTAAATTGTCAAATAAAAGTGTTGATGTCAAAGAAATATTCTGAATGCAATGCAATTATCTCCCCACATAAATACAGTTGTTGCTCAACAACATTATGTTCACGAATTTCCAAGCAAGTAAAAAAAGACTTGCACTTGAATACTAAAAAAATGTAAACATTAACTTAAAGAGAAAATACGGTACACATCTCAGCGGTGTTAGCTGTCTAAATACATGAGACTGCATCACGTCAGAAAATAACGCACTAACTGAAGATCCATCTCTGTGTATGACCATTCATTTTTTTCTTCTTTAAGGTGCTGCAGAATTCATACAGATCATTTCGTTTTCAAATGTCTTTGACCAGCGTGGCAGAAAGTCTAGCATAGCAACCATCAGTCCAATCTGCACATGGCTTTTTTCTCTGCCACATGGCTATTGTATGCTCACAGAGTTTAAAGGGCAGCTCTATATAATGTACTATATATTTTCAGAACAATAGGTGCTTATGCATACCGTTTATATCAGTAGGCCTACTGACCCTGAACATCCGTCTTCATTATTACATCCAAATTGCCGTAGCTTGATGTGTGAATACTTTTGACTGCTTATACTTTGCAGAATGAGCTCCACTGCATTGTTTCAAGCGGCTCTGCTTCCCAGTCACGACAGTAGGACCATCTAGTGGCTGAGTTGTGTAATGTTACAAAATGTACTGCAGAGAACTTCTGGCAAGCTGTTACCCTATTTGGAAATGCTTGGAAAAATCCCCCCAGGGGAACGATATGAGGGCCGTCTTGCGGGACATCAGCCACGCTCTCCAGACAGCACAATGCTGCTCTTCATCAGACAGTACAATGCAGCACCAGTCAGCCACTGGTCCTGCTAGCTGCATTGGCTGCTCACAAATGAAATTCAGCAATGTCTGATTGCTCGTGTTTCTACTGGATGAATTATAAACGCATGTTGCATGGTCATATACTCAAATGGAACAAGTGCTGTATTGTTCAAAAATGTTTTAAATTGTTGTAAAGATTCAAATCTTCCATAGATCCAAAATAGACTCAGTATCAAGTTTATTAGGGGAAACTGTTTTGCCATAATGTATAATTTTGTGTTACCTATAATGCTCAGTTTTTGTGTCATAGAGTAGTTTTGTGCAGCTGTGCCCAATAACTTGGCCATTAATTAAGTGCACACATGTTAGGTTGAATTATTGGAAATGTCTATACAATTATGCAAAATAGATTAAGAATATTTCCAGTTGTAACAAGCACATAGTGATACTGTCACTACCTTAAGTTATGCTTTCAAGGTTCTCCATGATATTCAGAGCATTAATAGTGGCGAAAAAAAAGAGACAAGATTGTAGAAAACTCTTAATTTATGAGAGTGGCAAAGCTGATCTAACTGGTAGGAGTATTTTGTCATTCACAACTGGAAACCCTGCATTTACGGTATTTAACTATTTTATTCTAAAAGCAAAATAGACATGTCAGTTACTCCCTGTCAACAGATGGACTGCTTGAATTCTCTGCTGATGGTGTAATTTATTTATTTTGTACCTTTTCTCTTGAAACATTACTGTAGTGACATGACTGTGATGAACTGAGATATTCTGTAGGTACATTACAGATATTTAGAGATTTTTACTTTATGAATTATGACAGAAGTCATAATAGAAGGTGTTGTGCACCACACAATGATTGATTCATAAAAACTACGAAGACCTTTGTTTCATTTAATGATTTATTGACATTTACTTTTTTCCCCACCATGGTTTCTCTTGATACCAATACTATTTACCATAAAGTTTCATTTCATTTAAATTACATTTATGATTTACTCACATACACATTTATTGTTTAATTTTCTTATTGCAATAAACAAGAGTAGCCAGAATGAGTCAGGTATTGCTACAATTCGCCATACAAACTCTGTGTCCCCTCTGACAATGAAATTCAAAAATAACTTTATTGGCAAGACAAAATTACACCATAGCCTCTCCATGTCTCTCTCTCTCTCTGCTCCGGGAGAGGCTGAGGGCAGAATAAGGCTAAGGCTATTAGCCTAAACACAGCTAACATGAAATACCTGCCCAGAAAATAGGCATCTAACATTTATTTCCCATATGTGAATCATGAGGATGAATAAATCGGAATTACCACAGTATGAACATATCTGTGGTGCTGCTACTTGACTGACCTACCAGGGACAAGATCACCACACTACTTTGATCGGGTCATTGATCAAAAATCTAGAATCCAGGATGATTGATCAATATTCCCGAAATCAAACATGTGCAGGTTACTGTCTCCATTATTTTGTTAGGCCACTTCATAGCTCCAGGTTGCATCTGTCTGGGATTGGTGGGAAGTAGGGAGAGAGCAGGTCCCAACACACACTAGAATACATGGTACACACACAGACAGGAAGGAGAGCACGGATCCTGGAATAGTATCTCACTCACAAAATGAACTCTGCAAAGAAGGTTTCGTTCGGCAACAAAAAGAGCACAACGGTGGGAGCTGACACCAAGCTAGCTTCTTCTGCAAGTAATGGCATTAACATTGTGCCTCAGGATTTCTCAAACACACAAATAAAACAAATGTATGTAAGTCCAAATAGAAAATAAACCTGTTGAACAACTCTACCTTTAATCCCTTGATACCTGGTGTTGTACCCTGTTCTCCAAGCAGAGATTACCATAGTAAAAAGGCCCTTTAATATGAAGGGCGGTCCCTAAACCCAGATACACCTCTCTCTCAATCCCTTCGAGGGCTTGTAGCCTACCCCTCATGGAAGAACTGAAAAGTCTGTCAGCTGGCATGCTCCCAGTTTACACATGACTCCAGACAACATGTCACAACATGTCACAATGATAACAAGTCACTCTGATAAAAATTGCTCATTGCATTGCAATATTCAGACAAAGGTAAGACATTAGAGCTCATTGCTTCTCAATGAAAGGGCACAGTGTACATCTTGTTCAGAAAAGGGTGAAAGTTTTCAAGCTGTCGAGCAAGATAGGTCTGCAGCTGCTTAGCTAACTTTTGTGGCTACCCGCTAAGTTCAGTTGGTCTGCTTGAATGTTTGTCTGAGTCAACACCATCCAATAATTCCACCCATCTTCTTATCTCTTCATGGATGCAGTTATTAACATATCTTACCTACAAAAATATTTTATTGTGTCTCCTATTTTGCTCTTCTTTATGTGTGATGTAAAAGCAAACCACAAATCCAAACCAAATCAAACAAAGTGCTCACCAGTGTTTGTAAAAGAAAACAAATGATGGTGCATTTCATGGCTTTCAGTTGTGAGATGGAAACTATCGGTAGATGCCTTGAGCTGGACGACTCGACTCCTTGCCCTGGGTGGCCTCGCCGGGCTTCTGACTCGGTTGTCACTCCAGCTCAAGATCATTTCTCCAAGACTATATTTGGCTTTCATCTTCCTCTCTATAATTTGTTCTCTTTGAGCATTATGTTTGCAAGTGTTTATGTGCCCTCTGCTATAGACTCATATGAACCTTTGTAGATAAGGGAAGGTGAGGAGGAGGAGATAAGGGCAGAAATGGAAGAGTTCAACCCAATGATGCAGAAGCCTGACCCTTCACGCTCGTATTGAGAGGCTGCATGCAGAAACAACATACATATATCAGTACACGGGGTCACACCTAAATCATACCTCCCCACCTACACAGTGAATCGGCCTGCAAATAAAGACCAGGGAGTTGTTAGGATGTCGATCGCTTTCTTTATGATGGCTAAGTGTGAACAGATGTCTGACCAAATACATATGAACTATGCTCTCCAGTATTTCTCATTATTGTAAGTAAAAGAACTGATTATTGCCATCAAACACAATCTAAGCTAAAGATAGGGATCATGTGTCAAATACAGCAGTACAGTACGTGCAACTGCTGCTGTTTCTCACATCCTCTTTTCCCTTTAGTGAGACCAATCTCTGACTGATATGGAGGTTGGCAGATGTGCCCTGTGGTGCAGTCTATTTTAAAACACAGATTCGTTTGGGCCTGTGTGTGTCTGCATGCTGCCTGGGGTCAATTCATCCACTGACCCGTTCCAACCCTCCTCTCACCTCAGTGTCTCAGGAAATGACAGCAGAGTGCAATCCCCCACAGTCCCTTTTCTGCTCTCTCAAACCCCCCCCCCCCACCATCAGACACGTTCAGATGCTGCTACCACCTGCCTGTCAGCCCAAGTCATGTCGTAAGTAGCGAGGACTTAGCGTCACACACTGAAGAGTTGCTGTCCTCCAGCGCTGAAGGGACATGTACAGTACCGCGGAGGCCGCCACAGCTACATGTGGCTGCAAAGAGCAAAGACCGATTGAAGCAGCTACCCTACTGACATAACATTATTGTCTTTGTTTTTGAGGTGCATAGGATGAGTAGAACACGTTGAGCTGTGATGACAGGGGAAAACCAACCTGGCCCGGAATAATTATGCAACACTAGATGTGGTTTAATGTTTCTAGAAAGATGTGCATGTGTTTATTCTGTAGCTATTGAGGCAGCCATGACAGGGCCACAGTGCAAGAGAGAGGGACCACGGGAGGTGAGAGATGTACAAGGAAGTTCAAAGCATAATGAACGTCTCTCCTCTGCTCATTCCATCTGCAGATCATTAAGAAGTCTTTGTAATGGAGGGAGAGTGTCAGGTAAAGGGAAGAAAGACATATCTACTCCTTTCTGCTGCTCCTTTCCCTTGCATTTCTCACAGTTCAGTATTTAAATGGTTGGATTTCCCCCCCCTATCAATTGCTGTTTGTTGATCATGTTTGTATCTTCACAGTGTGCTTTTGGAGTGGCTGCTCCTGACTGGCCTGAAGTCAGAGGGTGATGTGTCAGTAAGGGGAGAAAAGGATTGGCCCGTGGGTGGTGCGGATGGGCCCGGGGGCAGGTCTCAGGATGGTGTGGCTGAGATGATGGCCTTGCAATAGGTGATGGTGCGGATGGTGCGGATGTTGCGGATGGTGCGGATGTTGCGGATGGTGCGGATGGTGCAGATGGTGCGGATGGTGCGGATGGTGCGGATGGTGCGGATGGTGCGGATGGTGAGGATGGTGCGGATGGTGCGGGTGGTGCGCAGGATTTGCTGCACGGAGAGCCAGCTGGTTCGAGGATGCTGCAGCGGCCATTGCTGCAGCAATAGCCAAGGGGTTGTGCAAGAGCCCTGCACCCAAAACTTTGGTAAGATCCTTGGAGAAGGTCAATGAAGACTGCAAACAGAAGGGGGTGCACAAAGAGACACAAGACGTGAGAGAGAGGCATAAAATGATTGGTTCCAGAAGAAAGAACACATGGAGGGGAAACAGATATAGATCTGCCTCTTGAGATTTATGATGATCATAATGCAGAGGTTTCAGTCCAATTGAATTAAAACTTTCAGGAAGAGGACACAGCCAAAAACAGAACAACTGGTGGCTTTTGTAGGGATCAAATAAACTTGCTCTAACCACTCCAGGGACTTACAGACCTCATGTTCTCAATTCTCACTGTCTGTCTGATTTTTGGATCTCAGGTTTGACGACTGTGTCACTCAAGTGGTGTCCGAATTCAACAGTGGAACTTAAAAGGTTACCGTCAGATCAGCTCCCCTGTGCTTCTTGTGTCGACTGAGGAGGGGGTTAGGCTTGCCCGCCATGCCGTCCCGGTGCCTTCGACTTGATATGTGCTGAAAGAAAGGAACACAGGAACATGACTTATTCTGGTAAGTATTTAACTGTCAAAAATGGACTCTGGAGACTAATAATGTAATTTTGAGACTCTGGATTTTACATTATGCGCCAATGAAAAGAGAATTTGTTCCATAATTATGTAATCATGGTAATTACAAAAGCATCACAAAGTGCTTGGTGTATGAAAAAGTAATCTTAAGACTTCAAAAATAGCCAGTTATATTGTATGTAAGTATTATACTATTAACTATTAATAAATCCAATTAATTCATATCATTGGATAAAAATACATGCATTATTTCTTCTTCCTACCTGTTTGAGTTGCAGTTCAGAGTTGACCCGCACATTGCAGATCTCACAGTGGAAGGTTCGTTCCTGAGTGTTGGGGTCCACCGGCCCCCCTCCCTGCTCTCCAATGGGCTTGGGGCCAAGGCGAGGATACGCCTTGATGGGGCCCAGCCCGCTCCGCGCCTCCAGGATAGTTTTGTGTTTGGTACCTGCAGACGGACAGACGGACAGACACAAGCAAAAACACAGGTCAACAATGCCATAAGCCAAGATGAAATTACATATTTTGAAGCTAATAGAATTGAATGAAATAATACATTGGAGATGCATCACAATTTATAACATACTTCCAACTGTCTGAAGTGAAATAAGTCTGGACAGCCTTTCTCTGTAACTAATAACAGTGATTGAGAAACAGTGACAGTGACAAATATCAGGGCATGAAAAAAGAAAGAAAGTACCACTGGCTTGATTCTCCAATAATTTAACACGTATGCACAACATAGAGAGCATGTTGCCATCTAAAGTTGTAGTGGTATGTTTTTCCCACTAGAGGGCTGCAGTCAAACAGCTGTGCAGTTGAAGGATGAACTCAAAGCCCTCTCTAATGTTAACATTACAGTAAACGGTTGATAATATTTGATCAGTGGAGTGGGTAAGACACGTTCAAGCAGTGTTCACTGTAGTGAATTGTATTACCACTTGTGCCAACATCGATAACAGCTCTGGACTACTGAACCCTCACTGTCGAGATCAATAATTTAGACTCTAAATGTCAAAATTTGGAAATTTATTATGAGAAGCAGATTTGTCTGGTTCGAGGATGGATTTGACGTCAGACATTTGCTGCCCTGATCATGACTGTACTGTTTCACAAAATAGTTAAAATACCCCTATCTAAACAAGCTATATTATAAGTAAGCTGCAGCTCTGTCTTTTGTCATACTGGGATACTAGGTACTGGATTCTCAATGAGGATCATGTTGTGTAACACTTCATTCATACTGCTGAGCAATTAAAACTGGACTTGTTTCATTGCAGATGGGAGTGTTACATTAGACACAAAACAATTAACACAACAGATGCGTCTCTTGGCGATACCAAGTAAGTTGCATAGTTGCATGTGAACTCAGACCTCTTAATGGTCTGATCACCTGCTATATATTATATAGATATTCTGTCAGATGTTCAATAAAAGATGTCCACCTGCACATAAAACGATTTTACAAGAGATTCCAAACTGATGCATGTTTCATACATTTACAAGAAGAATTTCTATATGCAGTGTTTTCTTAATTTGAACCAACAAAATAATCACACATTTTGTTCATGGCTGAAAGAAATGAGTCATGCCCCCCATTGACCCCTATGCCTCTTGCACTCACAAAGTAAAGCATCCCACTGTCTTTGGTTCTGACTTTGAGTCGCTCTCTAAAATCCCTTTGAACAGAGGTAAAGTTACAGAAGAGAGAGAAGTGGTTGGGGCGGTGGGCTAACATGGAGGCTGTGGGCTTCACTGGGGAGGAGGGGCTGGAATGACAGATTTCGCTCGAGGCATGAAAATGTGCTCCTGGGCTATCTGTTTTTGCCATTGTTCTATTTTGGTCTGACAATGGATGGCCCAGTGGATTTTTTGTCTTTGTATGGTTGACTCATTGTGTAAACCAACATACAAGCATACAAGGCACATTAGAAAACGTGCAAATAGGCAATGGGTTGGCAGGAAACTGTAGAAATAACATTACATACACATCATTTCTCTATTTTTGTCTTTTCTGCTGTTCATTCTCACACAGAATGCCACGCATGCTGCTCAAGTCAGCATGACACATATTTTGATTTTTGAACCCCGCTAACATGCACAGTTTTTATTTCAGAATGAGTGAAGGTGATTGTTTCCAGATTGTTTAAACTTTTTCAACTCAATTGCCATTCGGGGTTTGAATTTTGGAGCAAACTAGTTGATGACAAGCTGTGGCCCCTGGTCATGTTTAGAAGCTGTAGGGTACTGCGTGTGTGATTTCTTTGTATTTACATGTGGATGTACATCATAAACATGCTGGCAGACAGATGTAAAGTAAGAAAAGTAAGTAAAAAAAAGATGTTAATCTAACCATAATGGTTGATGTGATTGCAATTTTATTGATTAATACTTCCTCCAACCGTAAGAGGTATTTGTTGGCTGCTTTCATGTCTGGCTGAGCTGGCTGCACCAAACATTACTCAAGGCAAATGAGATACAGTACACTGATGTGGGGTCAGTCCCTCATCGTCTGTTGTGTCTCTGTAGTTTTTCTTGTGTCGGAGATAATAAAGAGTGGAGGTCAGCAGACACAAACTGTGCTCACAGGGACATGAGGTCACAGGGAGAGATAAATTGATGGAGCATAACGGATTAAAGCAGGCAGCAGGCACCTCAGGGGTGTTTGGCAAACGTGTTGTCAGGTGTGAAAGTTGTCTGACAGAATGTTGAAGCTGGTATTGTGGCGAGCTCAGCCACAAAACATATTTTTCTCTTATTCCCTCATGCAGTGGTTACCCGCCTTAACCATCCTCCTCTGCAACTGTTTCAAGTGGAAGGCTTCAGGCTACGGGGAACAGTTTTTTATCTAAATGACAAGACAAATCATGGAAGTTTGAGTGAGGCATGTGGGTGAAGAAAGTATTGTGTGTTAGCAGAGTGCTACATGAGAGAGCATGACACACACACACACACACACACACACACACACACACACACACACACA